GGAAAACCTGATTACAGGATGGTTCATGATCTCAGAGCTGTAAATAAACTTGTGGTTCCGACTAATTATGCCACGCCAAATCCATACACCATGTTGAATGCAATAAGCTCTGAACACAAGTTTTTCACATGCATTCATCTTGCAAATGCATTTTTCTCAGTGCTGCTACATAGAGATTCACAAGATATGTTTGCCTTTATGTATAAAGGACAAAAATTCACTTATCGAAGGCTACCAATGGGCTTTATTTTGAAAATCTTGCCCCATTCAGATGAATGGGAAAATTCTACTTCTGCATAATTTTGGCTAGAAAAACCATTCAGGTGTCAAAATATTCAACATTTTCAGGGCGCTCTTTCAACACTCAGCATCCATACGCATTTTCTTCAGAAAATGCATTTCTCTAGTTATTTTTATTTTCCTAATGCATATTCCCTTTTCTTGTTTGCACATTCTTTAGTCTTTTATTTTTTGTTCTCTCAGCTTTATATTGTTCACTTGTCTACTTGTTGTCTTATGGAAGAACAGTATTGATACAAACTGAGAGCCACTGTACCAGAGTCAAATTCCTTGTGTGTTCAACACACCTGGCCAATAAAGCTGATTCTGACTCTGATTAGAAAGCTGCAGCTCTGAAGCCAGGGATACCTGCCAAAAAGTACAGAGAGAGGAGAAGTTAATGTCATGTAATGGTGGCATAAAGATGCATGGAGAGTGAGGTGAGAAGAGGAGAGGAGAAGAGCTGAAAGCATCATGGGAGCCCCCCAGCAGTCTAGGCCTATAGCAGCATAACTAATGGAAGGCTCTGGTTCCCCTGGTCCAGCCATAACTATAAGCTTTATCAAAATGGAAAGTCTTAAGTCTAATCTTACCGGTTGGAGTGAGTGGATAGAGGAGAGAGAAAAGAAGAAAAGCAACAAGACACAACAAACAAATCAAGCACTGGTCAGGTTGATGTGGCCGGTGACTGCTCATCAGAAACGTAGAGCTACAGAGCCAGGTCTACCTGCAGAAAGGTACAGGGAGAGAGGGAGGACACACTACGGGAGAGAGGAGACACAGTTAATGATGCGTAATGATGGCATATAAGTGCTTGGAGAGGAGAGGAACTCAGAGCATCATCACTCTGAGAGCGAAGTGTTCCAATAAAGGCCCTGTCCAAGGGGCCCGCTTGGGGGGATTTGTTGGGTTTTTCCTCAATAATAATTATAATAATAATAGTAAGGTCTAGACTTTATTTTGTAAAGTGTCCTGAGATGACTTTTGTTGTGATTTGGTGCTATACAAATAAAACTAAATTTAATTGAATTGTCTGTGCAGTAATACATCCATGCCTGATAGTGGAAAGAGTTTGTCCTCTGGAGTGGATGAATATACTCTGTAAATCTTAGTGTTAGAATTATATGTCTATAAGGGGAAATGTTGATCTGATACTGATCCTAATGGTTAAATAAATGGTTGTGGTGTCAACAAAATACTAAGAATGATCCTTTGGGTACTTAAAATATTCACAGAAAATTTCATTGTAGTGTTTGCTGTGAAGACCTTTTTTAACTTTACCTTACTTTGGCCCAGTGGTTCTAAATGTTTTTTGGGAACTCAGTCCCTTGTGATGAACTGACATGCCTCCAGGACCTCCTTTATACTTACTGACACCCCTGATTCCATGTTTATGGCTTCACCTGTTAATGTAAAATACCACATGCAAGATGATTATACTGTAGAATGCAACTGGAATATAACACTTTCTTACTCAAGAAACTGGAATAACTCAGGGGAGAGATGACATTTTCCTGCTAACCTTGATAATTTTATTATCATTCTATTGGACTTTATATTACTATTTTTAGGCAGGTTTCCACTTAGAAGGAAATAAGTGCTCATAATGTGAAGACAAGAAACAAAGAGAAAGCAGCATAAGTGCATATTTGAAGCCCAAAAGATATGCCTATTTAAAATAAATACATAAATAATTAATAAATGTTATACTATACTGGGATATTTTTAGAATTATATTATGCCTATGCAAAAATATATTTAGTAAATCATCCAAAATAGCATCATGGACTGCTAGGGGTTAAAGGCTAGTCAATATTATAATGCTGGCTTACAGGAAATATGGCTGTGGCTCTTTTCTCAGTAATCCTTTAACAGTGGGGCAGGGTGTGGCCACACAGCTGCTCAGGTGTATTCATGCATTGTCAGACTCTTCCTCCTCTCACTGTAGAACTCACTCCAGAACTACTATTTTCCCAGGATGTTATTGAAACTCCTAAATTGTGGATTTAAGGGATTTCTATACAAAGGATTTGTTCTTATTGAGGTAGGGTGAACTATTTGGTATTTAAAGTAAATAATCAGACTCAATTAACAAATTTTCTTCTTAAAAGCTAATTTTTAAAGAAAATAAAACATTTTTACTAACGGAACTATTTCTGTTTTCATCACTAGTTGAATTAAAACGCCCAGCAGCTGTTTCTACATCTACCCTCAAAATTACTTACAGTATATTTAAGCTATGGAGCGTCTGAAGTTAGTCCTACAGTATTTCCAGTCCAATTCTGAGTCCATCTCCAATGGGATTTGTATCATCCTGGCCTTGGTCAGTGTTAAGCTCTACACCAGTTTCGACTTTAACTGCCCATGCCTTCCTCAGTACAACAAACTGTACTCTCTGGGTATCATGATTGTCCCGCCAATCATTCTGTTCTTCCTGGGGGTCCTGGTTAACAGACATACGGGTGTCATGATGGATGAATGGATGAGACCCATTGGGAACAGATCCAAAAATCCTGCTGTGGTGAAGTGAGTCAAATATTTACCTCTTGAATTTACTAAGAGAGTCTAACAGAAGCATGTGGGGAATAAAGAACACTTAACATTAAATCAGTCTATAAACTATTACTAGAGATGTCCTAATCCTCTTTTTTGGCCCCCATACTGATTCCAATTCCTTTAATAATAACTATCTGTCGATCCCATCCAATACTTATATTTACCTTAACCTCTAGAGTCCCTGCGTCCTCATATGAGGACCGCACAGCTTGGGTTTCCAAAGCTCAGGACTCTAGAGGTTAAATAAATGTTCATTAAATATTTGACATATTGAAATTGATATTAATCTGACACTTTATTTTTCAGCTGCTTTCAGGTCCTGGTTCCAAAACATTAAGTTTATTATCTTAAATTATTGATATAAATAAAAGAATAACTGGGAGCTGGACAACACACTCAGAACTACAGATTACTTACAGGGCAAACATAAGTATTCATGGTCCAGGCAATCATATTATGATGGGTCTAACTATCATGGGAATATTGCTTTTAGATGTAATGGCATTATAGGGACACTGAGCTGCATTGGTAAATTTTGCACTCTCCTTCCCACAACTCTCACAAATGTATCAGATATATCTATTAACCCAGATGAAACAGATCATTTGGACAAATTTCAAGTATGGCTTGAAGACAAAGGCCTGGATGACCTTTAATTTTTTACTTCTAAATTCAGACAAAACTGAAGTTTTTGTACTAGGGCTTAAAAACATCAGAAATCTGCTGTCTAACCATATAGTTACTTTTGTTGACATAGCCCTGGTCTCCAGTACTACTGTGTGAACCTTGGAGTCATTTTTGACCATGATATGTCCTTTAAATCACACATCCCTTGCGCAATATCGCCAAAATCAGGAACATCCTGTCTCAAATTAATGCTGAAAAACTGGCCATGCATTTGTTACATCCAGGCTGAGCTATTGTAACTCTTTACCATCAGGATGTCCCAATAATTTCCTAAAAAGCCTCCAGTAAATCCAAGATGCTGCAGCCAGAGTACTGACAGGAACTAGCAAGAGATATTATATCTCTCCTATATTAGCTTCACTCCACTGGCTCCCTGTAAATCCAGAATAGATTTTAAAATTCTTCTCCTAACATACAAAGCCTTTAATGACAAGGTTCCATCATATCTTAAAGACCTCGTAGAGCCTTATCATTCCAACAGAGCCCTTCGCTCTCAGAGTGCAGGTTTACTTGTGGTTCCTAAAGTCCACAGAAGTAGAACGGGAGCAGTCACCGGCCACATCAACCTGACCAGAGTTTGATTGTTTGTTGTATCTTGTTGCTTTTCGTCTTTTCTCTCTCCTCTATCCACTCACCCCAACCAGTAAGATTAGACTTAAGACTTTCCTTTTTTATAAAGCTTATGGTTATGGCTGGATCAGGTGACCCTGAGCCTTCCTTTAGTTATGCTGCTATAGGCCTAGACTGCTGGGGGACTTACTTTTCTCTTCTCACTCCTCTATCCACCCACCCCAACCGGTAGAGGCAGAAGGCTGCCCACCAAGAGCCAGGGTCTGTCAGAGGTTTCTTCCATTAAAGGGAGTTATTCCTCCCCATTGTTGCCAAGTGCTGCTCAAGTGTTAGGGTGCGCTCGAACACAGAGTGAGCGAGCAGATAAAAAGC